GATCTGTTGTACTTTAATACATCTTGCAATAATGAACAATTGGTATGTAAGACAGTTTAAATATTTAGTATCTGGAAACAAGTTTTGTTTGCTAATAGAAAGTCAATTTTAAATTTACCTGTACTTCAACTAGACGTACATGGATCAAATCAGTGGTGAACAAAGCTAAACTTTTGTACTCAAATTTGTACATGAATTTAAAAATTTGAAGAAATTGTATACAATACTTTGAGAAGGTGGTATCTGATATTTAAAACAGGTTTAGACTGTCACATTAGCCACACTCCAATGATCAAAGGGACACTGTCAATATAATATCTTGTCAGTGTGTGAGAAAAAACGAGATAAGTGGTGAAGATACTACTCCTGTCCCTGGGCATCCCAATGAATTTTTGAAGGTCTAAAATCTTTGTGTAGTTTTTATTAATGGCATTTCTCTCCCCTTTTGTTCTGTTAAAAATCCACATAATCAGGAGTAAGTATGATGAGGTTTCTATAGTGGAAAAAAAATGAAACTGTGTACAAAAAGAAAACAAACTGGAAAAAATACATGATAAGTTATAGTACTATAATTGTAACAATAGGATGGAAAAATTCCAGACAGTGTGATTGTTAACGGTGCCTTTTTATACATTTTTTAAAATGTTTTTTAAATTAATAAAGTCCTTTCTATCTCATAGGAGGTCCCTTTGGTCATGTATTTTGAATGGAGGTAATTAGGAGTGCTCAACTTAAATATCTCTGTTCAGTGCCCCTAAATGCATGCACCAGCACCTAGAGGAAATGTGCACTTTATCAGGCACCATTTACTTTCATAGGTTGTTTGATGATTTTAATGCAGTTTTATGTTTCCGTTTGTATCATTCTCCAGCTCCTTGACTCCTCTTCCCCTTTTTTAATATTTAGAGTCAGATACAATTTTTGCACCCCCCCCCCTATATATGGTTAAGAATTTAAACATAAAAGTGAAGAAATTCAAACATTTTCTCAAAACTTTGTGAACTTGGTTGAACACATTAGATATATATTAGACATTAATTAGCAGCATAAACAGCAACTGGCAATATACAAAATGTGGCCAAACTAAGGATCTTATGGAAAACTTTAATGCTTGAATTTGGTCTTCTTGATTTCTGCATGATATTTACATTTCAGAAAAATTTTCAGTTACGTTTGCAGGTGTTGTCCCTGATCGTGCAACTGGAACTACCTGGGTGGACCCCTGCTCCCACACAAAACCCCCATGAAGTCAGTGGGGCTCTACACAGGAGTTAGGTTCTACCTGCACTTGCAGAGTCAGGGCTTTTGGATGGATTTTTTCTCCCTCTTCCTTTTTCTTGTTACACCATTCAGAACAAAAGATTGGGAATTGACTTGGAGATATTCTCCTTTATGGAATGTGATAAAAATGGTTCTACTAAAGCTGGTTCTGCTGAGTCATTTTCTCCTGGATGAATTCCAATTAAAAAAAATACTTTGTTTAAAAATGATGATTTACGTATTTAAGAATTGTCTGACCATTATTTTGCTTAGAAGAATCTACTTCGTCAGTGCTCTAACATCCACTAATTCAAATTAAATGGGTTTCTTCCTGGAAATTGTCAATCAAGCAGAGGCTGCCAGTTGCACTTGAGAATTTCTTCACTCTTGTTCTCCGTCAAGGAATCTGTTGTGGTTTCCAATCTTTCCTTATTTTTAGCAGCAACTGGACACTGCTGTATCACTGTACAGAAAATAGAGGTGAAGAGCACAGATGCATCCTTTCATCCCCTTATAGTATTGTGTTGCTCTATCTATCTCCAGAATATCTATCATCCATCAAACTGGAGGTATACCAGGCAACTTTGCCTTTTTTTGCAAAAACTCTGTTCTTTTAACAATCCTCTCAACATGACTCCCAGACTTTTAATGTTGCACTTTAGTATATCCAGTGTAATCTGATAAATTCTGCAGTTTCTCCAGCATCATCACTCCTATTTAATGCCTTTTGTTGATTAGGCATACCTTTTAATAGGAAGTCTATCCACTACCTATTCTACTGAATTGTTCACTTGGATCTTTTCCTCTTTGCCTAGTAGCATTGACGATAAACTCTGGGAAGAATGTTCTGAGCCCATGTGCAACACATCATCCATTATCAGACACAGGGATTCGAGTCCTTTTTAGAAGAAAGGTTGCAAAAAATCAGAATCCATCTGGAACATCTCAGTGAGATTCTATATGCTTCTTATTTATGTCATATCTGAAGTGGTTCCTGTGGATCAAACTTTATGGGAGCTCATGCCAGTTGTTATCTGGATACTTGGATTTATACTGGGACTTTAGAAAGCAAGGTTTTCTTTCCTCCCCATGTTGGGGTCACTTTTGTGGTAGATGCACAGTAACTAAATTTTTCCTGGATTCTGCAGTCTAGGATCACACTGGACAGTTGTGACTTTGGATGCAGGTTTTGAAGTTCAGAATGACTGGGGATAAAGGTTTCAAAGAGAAACTGTATTTTTCATCAGTCCAGAGCAGGATGGTCCTACTTATCCTGGTTTTAAGTTTCAGGAAGTTTCTCCTCAATCAACTGTGTAAGTGGATAAAGACAGACATACCTTTGTTGCTTATAGAAACAGACAAGGGATCATGATGAGTAAGACTGTCCTAATGGCAGCCGTGATAGTGCTCAGTTGGCTCAAGATAAAGCTAATGCTGCGCTTGAAAAACTTATATTGACTAAACTGACTAGCTGAGAAGATGTGCCACATCCCAAAAAAATGGTGGTTGAATATCTTACCATTAAAACATCACATCCCAGCCTGAGGTCTCTCTTCTGTGGATCTGTTAATCTCTGAGAAGAACTGCAGTTTTTCTAAATATTACAGATAATATCTAGGCTAGCAAGCAAAAGCTTATTTTCAGTCATGTTTTCCTTCCCCATTTCTTTCATCTCTTTGCCTCCTTTCCTTCACTTCAGCTTTTGCTAGGATCCTAGTAAACAGTACAAACAAGACTGTGGTAACATACAAATGGCCCAGGAAATGGCATTTAATTGGTGCAATCAGATTAAGTGATGGCTCTTATAAACCTCCAAACTCACAGTTCACCAAACCTGATTTAGATGCAGGTCAGTCACAATAGTCCAGAAAGAAGAGTATTATATTTTCTTTGTGGGGGCAGGGAGAGGCTTGTAAGTAACGCATTCTGAATAAATTATGCCTGCCAAAAACCGTCCTGGAAACTCATTCAAGACAAACCTGGCCACATCTAGAGACTAAGCACTGGTACATACTCATCACTAGAGAAGCTGAGCATCTACAAGATAGGATCAGTGTTCTTTTTGTGATACATGCAGAAAAGAATGTCTTCAGCTATTGTATTCTGTTCTATAACTTTTGTAGGAATTTCTTGAGAAGAATCCATCCAAACTATCTTTCCTACTAGAGTGGAAAACCTTAATCTAAGATTTTCTCTGAATTTCACCAGAGCCAGGAAATAATTCTGCCCAGTTATTGCCTTTCTCCAACAAGAAAAAATCTTAAATATGTTAGGCTGTAAGGGGACCCTGGAGTTGTATTTAAGGAGGACTCTGCAAGGCTTATTTCTGTGCAGAAGTTACCTGCCTACTTTACCAGAATCATGACTTCCTCATTGAACAAAAAGGTTAGCCTCCTCAAAAGACATCAGTAAAGCTTACTGCTTTGTTGCATCTACACATTCACTAAACTTAAATTAATTCTGCCTTCCTCAGCCAATTTGATGTTAGGGAGTCTCTCTTGAAGGACTAATCTGTTTTATTTTCTGTCTTTTCTGTGGGATACTTCTATTAAGAACCCTTTCATTGTGGAATAGAAAATGCCCAAAACAGAGAAGATAATAACATCATTGTTTTCTGTGTTCAATTTTACTAATCCAGAAACCTGCCTCACTTTTCTTTGAAACCTCTGTAGTGAGAGGGAGTATAAGCTAGTGATTTAAAGGGATTGGAAGTAAAGAAGAGGTTTTTCCACTGATGTATGTGACCCTATGCCTCAGCTTCCTCATTGGTAATATGGATATATTAGTGCCTACCTTATAGGAATTTTGAGGCTTAATTCAGTAATGTTTGTAAAACACATGGATAGCCTCTGTTGGAAGGTACTATGGAAGTGCAAATTATTATTGTGTAGACTGAATTCAATTATTTTTTGTAAGTTTACAGGCCTGCCATGGTTAAGGAAAGAATTTTTTTGTGTCTTTAAAAGACAATGCAAAAAGTTCTTGAGTGGGGAGTGTAGAAAGGGACTATCTGAAGAGGTGCTAAAGACATAAAAACTCAGCGTGGTGATTGGTCACCTCTGCTTAATTGACAGGTTTCAGGGAAAAACAAAAACCTATTTGTTCTGGCTTAATGGAACTGGAGAACAGAAAATGAGTATCAGGTAAAAATTCCTTTTTTAAAATCTTTGCAGTTCTCCTTTTAAAAATGAGTTAAGACCACACAAATCTAAATCCTCCAAAATAAAAATATATATATATATATATATGGGTAGGAATTTTAGAAGCAGGCCAAATTTGGGTTGATTTATTCAGTGCATATGCTAGTGGATAAGTGTTGACATCACAAAAATACCATTGCAGTTTATGCTGATTGACAAGTTTAACAGGCAGAAGATAGAATCAGTGTAGCGACTGAAACCCTGATCTGCGCAGCTCTTTGTTTAATTTATCATCAGGACATCAAGGAGGGAAGGTTTTGTTGTCTCTTCCTGTATTGTGCTTGCTCTGTGGTTAAAGTCGGTCAGTTTCTACTGCTATTAATCGGGCATCTTTCAGGAGTACTACAGCAAAATTCACTGATAAGTAAATGGCTAAAAAGTAAAAGACATACTGGATCTGTCATCTAACGGTATGCTGTTTTTGGATGTTTTATGTGCATTTCAGCATCAAAGTGTTGAGATTGTAATTTAGTATGATATGTCTCCCTAGTTTTTGATTATCGTTTTTTTGTTGGGGTTTTTTGCCTTAATCTATTTCAGATTGAAGGACAAGGACATGGGGCAGTTTTTGACTGCAAGTGCTCTCCTGATGGCCAGCATTTTGCATGTACAGACTCTCACGGGCACCTTCTGATTTTTGGCTTTGGCTCCAGTAGCAAATATGATAAGGTACAGTCCAAGGCATAAATCAAAATATCCTTTTCATTGTTTAAGTAAAAGTGTTTGTGCGTGCTTTTTGTTGAAAAAAAAATTGACTTCTAATTTATTTCACAGATTTTAAAGCTTTTTGTCTTTTCAGTCATGTTAAGGTATAGCTTTTATATTTGTATTGTTAGATTCCATTCTCTTCCCCTTTATTTTCTTTCTTTTCTTTTCCAGCTCATACAATATGGTATGTTTCTATAACTCGCTGCTGCTTTCTATCTCCTGTTCAGTTGCAGTCACTCCAAGTTTCTGTGCGTAAAACAAAAGGAGTAGAAATACCTCTAATAATAAAAATAGATTGAAATGCATAGTACTTTGTTAAGTAGGTGACATTAATAAACTACAATGAAATTCATTCTAAATTTAACCCTGGCTTTCAGACATAATTGTGCTGGATCTTGATTAATTCTAATTAATTAAAATTGATCTTTTTAAAAGATATTTTTGGATTATCACATTTATGGTTCATCCTTGTTTATATCACTTGCTCCGGAAGTTATTTGGAGACAAATTCATACTGTAAATTCATACTGTGGGGGCATCCCCCTAGGGGTGTGTGGAGGAACATTTGGGGCGAGGGGACGTGGCAGGGCCTGAGCCAGCTCCCATGGGGCATGGGGAGGGAGCACCATGCTTCCAGCCGCGTTCCGCCCCCAGAACAGCTCCATTCCCAACCTTGCTCCTCCCCCAACTCCATTCAGCTCCCAGTTCTGTTCTGCTTCCAGGCCAGATCTGCCCTTGTCCTACTCCACTCCCAACCCTGCTTCGCCCCAGCCCCAGTTCCACTGAGCCCCATTCTGCTCCCAGCTCAGCTCTGTCCTCGTTCCCTCTCTGTTTCCAGACTAGCTCTGCCTCTAGCTCCAGCTCCTCTCCCGTCCCCAGTTCTGCCCCCAGCTCTGCCTCAGCCCAAGCTCCGCTGCTGAGGAAGCTGTGGCTGTTTAGCAATGGAGGGGGAGTATAGACAGATTCCGTTAATGGTAAGGGGGGGCGTGGCTGGAAAAGTTTCTGCACCACGCTGTAAATGTACTGTATGTTATATTAATGTAATTTTAATTAGGGTGGGTTAATTTTGGTGATCCTAGATACTTCCTTATTCTTATACAGGCGCCCAGTAATGCTGTATTGGCATTAAAACTTGACTCTAATATGGTTTAAGTCAGTGTTTGTTTAATTACTTTTATAACAGACTTTTTGAAGTATCTGCTCTAATAGATAAAGATTTTTAAAATTTAGTTGTGTGTATTAACACATAGTGCTAACAAAATATGAATACTAAAATGATATAAATGATTTCCTGCTTATTTCCATTTCACCCCATATCTCCTAAAAATGCAGTAACATAACTGTAGTAGTCAGATATACAATACTGCAGAGTTTGTAAATTATTTAACCCAATTTATGCTGATTTCTGCCAAGCAACTGTGTTTTTAGAGGGTACCTGTAGGGTTTATTCCCCAGTGCAGTACAGTACAAAAATGACTATTAGATGGGGAAAACATTAGCACATTATATACTCCTCTGGAAAGGAGGTAAAGTACCTGTTCTATGACCACCTCATTTTTACAGAAGTGTCCATCACTACAAATCACTAACTTGCTAGGAAAAGACATTGAATACTTACTGCAGACATATTTATTTGAATGTTTCTATTTTTAATTAGTTGCTTGTAATTGATCAAAAATTGGCTTTATGTTACAGATAGCAGATCAGATGTTCTTTCACAGTGATTATCGACCTCTTATCCGGGATGCCAACAACTTTGTCTTAGATGAACAGACACAGCAGGCTCCACATCTCATGCCTCCCCCATTTTTGGTTGATGTTGATGGCAACCCTCATCCATCAAGATACCAGAGATTAGTTCCAGGTCGTGAGAACTGCAGGGATGAGCAGCTTATTCCACAGATGGGAGTGACTTCCTCAGGTACATAGAATTTAGGTCCGGTATGCTATAGTGTACATGGGCTTGAATATTGAATTCATCATATGGAAAGTATAGTGAGGTGGTTCGTGTGTGGTCTAATACAGTTGGAGTTAATAGGACTCTAGAATATTGCCACTATGTTTATCAGATTAATTAAGAAAAACCCCCTTTTTATGTGTAATAAATCTTTCTCTTAATTGGCAGCTAACAAGAGGAGCAGCAATGATGAGTGAAGATGTGATTTTGGCTTTGAGGGGAACTGCATCTAGGAGCTGGGAGTCTAAACTTATATTCAGTTGAGGAGAGAAATATCAGCTGAGATTAGGGATTTGACTTGCTTAGGAAAACATCATCTGGAAACAAGGAAACACCAGCTAGACATTCAGTAAAAACTAATTCTTGATCTAGCATAACTGCTATGTGCCATAATTGAAATGTATGTTTCTAAAAATTAAGAGGGTTGTTTGCAGTGCTGATCTTGCACAATTTAGTAGGAGCCACATTAGAATACAGTTTTTTTTTCCTGAGTGATTGTCCATACAGATTCCACTGTTGGTGCACATGCACGTGACTCTTTTTAACTAGCAGTGTCCAGTGGAGTCACACCGGCACCTACAGCATGCTCTCTTCACCCTCTCCCCTCCTCCCCCTTCCCAAATAAATGTTATGGTATAAAAGGTGTGGAACAGGCTAAACTACCACTCACTTCCTTCTTACCACCTCTGACTGTGATACAGTGCCCTTTGCAGTGTTCACATCCCTGGCACTGTGCAAATTAGATCTTTAGGTTTACAATTAATGGTATTGTTTAATGTAGTTTTGTGTTAACTAGTTTAGTTACGTTTCTTTTGCCTGGTGGCTTTAAACAAATAATCAAAGAGACAATATTCCTTTTTTCATAGTTTAGCCAGCTATGTTTCCTTTCTTCTAGGTAGCCCCCAACACATGCACACCTGTACAGGGGTACTAAGAATATGGCAGACACCAAGTCACCAGGGTTTAAGACCTGTTCCTTTGTGACATCACTATGTCTATTAATGAGACACACATTTTGGAACATTGTTCCACGGGCCATTCCTTCTCAAATCTTACCCAGAAGGCGAGGGAGGCCTATACAAGCTTGCTCAGGCTCTGGGAGATCAGAGAAGCGACAGCAGGCAGGTCAGTTTGTTATTGCTAGTGCCCTGCTGAGCCATGATTCCACTCCATGCTCCCATGCTGTTGCTTCTCACATGCCTTGTTTGTCTGCCACTCCAGGGTCAAGAATTTGCATATCTCCATTGAAGAAACTATGTGTAGGTTACCTTCACCAATGCCAAGCAGGAGACCCAAAGGCCACATTTCTTTTGGGCTTCTTCGCTTAAGGGCCATAAAACTGAGTCACTTCTGGTACATTGATATTGTAGACTAAGGCGGCATCAGTTCCTCCAGAATCTAACGACGGAGTTTCCCTGAGTACAGAACCTTGGCATTGAGCTTGGTACATTGAGTCTCAGCAGAGAGTGGTTCACTGACTGCAGAAGTATCAGCCACCAACGTCTGACGTTACAGCACTGGATACTTCAGTGCTCTCCAGATCAGCACTAAAGCAGTTCACAGTACTGAGTGACTTTTCCATTGGCCTTGTGTAGGAGTCACCCTTGCTAGAATGTAGATTGAGACATTGTTGCTAACTCCTCAGCTCCTCATTTGCCATGTCTTTCCAGAGGTGTCTCATTGGCACCAACGTCTTAAATAAGATACACCAGATAGGATCGTCCCCTAGAGGAGGTTTGTTCCTGCTCTTCCTCATCAGCAGAATATAGCAGAGATTCTTCCCTTCTGATGGCCCATCACTCCCATGGGTGGCATAGTGAGACTCTAGAGATTAGTTCTATTACAGAAGCTAGAAGATGATCAAGGTTGCATTGGGAACATCCCAGTGGGTATCCCCCTTTTGTCCTCTCCCCCATGATAGCCATACCAGTCATGGCCATATTGGTACCCCTGGGATATGAATCCCTATTCCAGGAAACCAGCATTCTTCTCTGTATCGAGGGCCAGATCTCTCTCTCAGCCAGGAAGGAGATTCATTCTCCCCAAACTTCTCAGCAGATCCAGCCATAGCTACTAGAAGGTTAGAGGGAGAATGGGGGGATGACCTTCACTCTGCTGAGCAGGAGTACTCACCACCTCTTCTTCCCCGGATGAGGCCATCAACCCTCCAACTACAGCCTTAATGGATCAGTTTAAGGTCTTTCTAGAGCTAATGACGAGGATGATAGAAACAGTAGACATTCCTCTAGAGGTTATCCAGGAGCAAAAGCATTAACTTCTGAATATCTGGAAGACCAATTATGCCTACAAATGATGCTTAGTTGAACCTGCCAAGTCCATTTGGCATATGCTTACATCAGTACCATCCAGCTCCAAGAGATTTGATGGAAGGTAGAAGTTCCATGCCGAGTGGTTTGAGTTCTTTTACTAGCATCCTGCACCTGGCTTTCTGGTGGTGCAAGCTGTCCAAGAGAGGACAAAAACATCAGGGTCTTCCAAATCCACCCCTTATGGAAAGGAACCTAAAAACCTTGACTTTTTTGGCCAAAAGGGCTGATCATTAGCCAGGACTGCTCTCAAGTACAATTTTTTTTAATTGGGACAAGCTCTAAGTGTTGTAGATAAACTATCTAACAAACATTAGGAGGAGATGAAATCCCTCATGGCCAAGCGCTAGTTGACTGCCAGAGCTTCACTTTAGTTTGTGATCGGATTTGTCTGACACAGCAGAAAGAACAATAGCCACTTCAGTTACCACGAGGAGATCCTTTATGGGGTCAGGCATTTGGAATTCAAAGGGAGGTCCAGGTAACAATTGAGAACCTCCCACTTGAGGGTAGATAGCAATTGAGGACCTCTCATTTGAGTGCAATAATCTGTTTAATAGTGGCACAGATGAAGCATTCCATACCCTGAAAGATTCCAGGGCAACCTTGCACTCTTTGGGACTCTGTCTTCTCTCTGAAGAGAGAGCAGTAGAGACCATGGCCTCACTACAGGCAGTGGTCTCCATCCCAATATTATCCCCATCATTGGAGACTCCAAGGGAGAGGCAGAGATTTCACCAGAGGTGATTCTGCCTCCCTCTCAACTGTCTCCCAGTCTGGGGCTCCAAATACACAATAAATTTGATGCCATTGACATCTTGATTGTTCCACCACAAAACTCTTTCTATTCAACTTGCCCCTCCCCCCATTTGGTAACCACTTGTTTTATTTTCAAGAAGTTTGAGCTGGGATAACATTGGATAGGTGGGCCCCTGGGTTAATAAACAAGGGTATCCATTCCAGTTTCAATCTCCTCCAGCGTCCTCCCCCTTTTCAGGGGCCCTTTCATGAGAGACATTTGAAGCAAGAGAGAGACTCCCTTTTACAATTGGGAGCAATGGAGGAAGTGCCCTTAGAATTCAGGGACAAGAGTGTTTTATTCCCACCTCTACTTAATCCCAAAGAAGAAATGGAGTTGGAGACCCATCCTCAATCTTTGATGTCTCAACACCTTCATCCATCATTTCAAATTCCTCATGGTGACCCTGACTTCTGTAATCCATTTTTTTGATCCTGGGACTGGTTCATAGCTCTTGATCTGCAAGACACACATTTTGATACATCCAGTACACAGAAAGTACCTGAGATTCCTGGTAGGAACATCACACTTCCAATACAGAGTCCTACCCTTTGGCCACTCCACAACTTCCCTGGGTCTTTACCCAAGTTCTGGCTGTAGTGGCAGCTAATCTTAAGGAGCCAGAATTCAGGTAGATCCCTATCTAGATAACTAGCTAGTTCGAGGAAGATCTCCACAGCAAGTGACTGGTTCACTTCATGTAATTCTAAAATTATTTGTTTCGCTAGGACTCAGAATCCATATTGACTCTAACTCAGACCATAGAATTCATAGAGGCAGTGTTAGACTGCAGGTTAGTTAGGGCATATCTTCCGCAATTGAGATTTTGGACAATAATGGGCTTCCTTATTCAACTTCAAGCCCACCCAAGAACACTGGTGAGGCTGTGCTTGAGGCTCATGGGACATATGACTGCGTGCACTTACGTTACACAGCATACCAGACTTCACATTAGAAGTGGCAAGGGTGGATGAAATCAGTATATTTACTGAACAGGCACCTCATGGATATGGTGATCACAGTTCCACAAGAAATCCTCTCCTTGTTAAACTGATGGATAGAACCATTTCAGGTGTCCTTCTTCCATGCCTTTACTTATAAAGGTTCTGGTAAAAGATGCCTTTAATCAGGGTTTGTGCTGGTGCAACTTGGGCAGCTGAAAATTCAGGTTCCTCAACAGGCCTGTCTACACATAAAAATTTTAGGTCTCCACGTCAGACACCTGGCCATGTAAGGGTTTCTTACCTCTTCTGCAGTGCTCAGCAATCCAAGTACTGGTAGACAACACCACTGTTGCACTGTGTAAACAGACAAGTGTGAGAGAGATTCTCTCCACTCTGCCAAGAAGTTGTACATCTATGGGAATGGTGCATTCGATATCTCTCCACCAGCTTACCTGGATGTTTTCTGAAAACTGTGAGTGGCCTCTCAAATACTCAATCCTGCTAAGCATTTCCAGATGGGGACTCTCAAAAGTGTGCATGTTTGCAACCCGTCACAACAAGTGTTGGATGCTTTGCACCAGAGGGAATGCTACACTGGGATTAATGTACGCATTTCCCCAATACCCTTGATACCAAGGGTTCTGAAGAAACCGAGACAATATGCTGATCACATCCTCATGATAGGCTCAGCATGGGCCAAGAGTTCTGAGATTCTCCAAATCTGAATACATCAGCACAGCCGCCTTACCAGCTCTGCCTGGCATAATCACGCAGATCCTGAACCTGGACCCAGCATCACTACACCTGACAGGCTGGGTGGTATACAAAGAGATAAGCTGTTCACCTGAGATTCAGAACACTTTGATTCAAAGCAAGGAGCCTTTGACCAGATTGACATACAAGGCCAAATGGAAGAGGTTTTCTCTGAGCATGTCCACACTGGCTTTCACCACTGATCTCTCCAATTTCAGCAATAGTGCAATATTTGTTAGCCTGGAGACAAGCCTGAACTTTCCATCAGTTCAGTCAGAGTCCATTTAGCAGCAGTATCTGCAAATTATTGTCCTATCCCAGATGACGTTGTGTTTTTTTTCACGCAGAGTGGCAAAATGATAGAAAATACTTATTTATGTTTTCCCCCTTGTTACAATACCACCTTCTCCCTGGAAGCTTAATATGGTGCTAGCCGGATTTTTTGGGGATCCCCTTTCACCCTTGCCACGTGTCCTACTTTTCTCAATGAAAACAGCTTTCAGTGATCCTTAAGTAATCTAGGAGGGCAGGGGAAATTTGTACACTCATGACTGGTCCCCCATACACAGTATTTCAGAATGACAGGATTACCCTTAGACTTCACCTGAAGTTCCTGTCTAAGATTATTTCAGAATCCCATATAAATTAGTTCACTTACCTTCTGGTTTTCTTTCCCAAGCTTCAAATTAATCCAGGGGAAGTGAAGCTTTACACAATAGCCATAGTGAGAGCTTTATCTTTTTTAGATAGGACAAGATCTTTAAAGAGCACATCTAGGCTATTTGTAGCATTTGCAGACAGAGGGCAACCTATATCCACATGGATCTCCGATTGCATAATGTCTTATCTAACTCAAAAGATCATATTAGAACTTTATTCCACTATGGCTCAAGCAGCCTTTATTGCCTGTTTGGCTAATATTCCATCTGAGATATGTAAAGCAGCTACATGGATCTCAATTCACACACTTACCACTCACTATTCTCTAGTGTAGGCTTCCAGATCAGGTGCTAATTTTCAGTAGGGCTATTCTGCTATCCTAATTCAAGTAGGACTCGTGTTATCCATCTCCAAGCAATTAAACGATTGTTTGTTAGTCCCCAAGAGTGAAATCTGTATGGACAAGCATTTGAAGAAAGAATGATTACTTTTGCTCTAGTATCTGGTTCTTTAAAATATGTTGTCCACATAGCTTCCACAACTTGTCGTCCATCCCCCCACTAATTCACAGTCCTGTTCCTGTGGCTTTCTGCATTGGTGGATAAGCCCACTCCACCCTTTATGCTTTCAGCTGGGGAGGCTTGGTGTGCTCCAGGGCTCCCAGGGTGCACATGTGGCCCTAATGGATGCTACAAGTCAAAAAGGATCTGATCAAGGGTGCATGTGCGCCACAAGTGGAATCTGTGTGGATATGACATATTGAAGAACCATAGTTTCTGTAGAGTAAGTAATCATTCTTTTTGTGTTTGTCCAAGAAATGTTTACTGTTGATTAAGCTGTGACATTAATCAGATACATAATTAAACTCCAATACAGATATAAACTAAATGGAAACTACTGAAATTGAATGCACTTAGACTGCAAAATGTTATGCTTTGCTGACAGTAGTTCTGTAACAAGATATTTACTTCTCCAAGAACTACCCAAGGTTATTTTGCATTACTTTCTGTGGCACTCATGCAAGTTTGAGTATATGGTTCCAGCCCCATAGAATTGACAATCTAATTAGTAGCAAGAAATCCAGCAAAAAGTGGGTTAGATTTTTAAAACTAGAATCTCTATGCTAACACTTACAAGACATGCAATAACTTACATTGCACTTTGCAGATTTTACAGGTAGAACTTAGATAGTTTGGAATACTTCTCTTATTGTGTCAAAAATGTAATTTTGTTTCTTGCATTTTTCCCCCACAGGACTGAACCAAGTACTGAGTCAACAAGCAAATCAGGAAGTTAGTCCGTTGGACAGTATGATACAGAGACTTCAGCAAGAACAAGATCAGAGACGTTCTGGGGAGGCAGGCACCAGCAATACTAGCCGGATAGGAAGAAGTAAAACAAACTTTTTTTGTTCCTTTTCAAACAATTTACAATGAGGGTATGTCTACACTGTAGTTAAACACCCACAACTAGCCTATGCCAGCTGACTTGGGCTCAAGCTAAGGGACTGTTTAATTGCAGTGTAGACCTTTGGGCTCAGGCTGCAGCCCAAGCTCTGGGAACTTCCCATCTCGCAGGTTCCTAGAGTCCCAGCTCCAGTTAAACAGCCCATTAGCACAGGCCAGATGTGGATTTTTAATTGAAATGTAGAAAGAATATGGGAAATGGAAAATAAATGGATATAATGAGATTGAGGAGGTATGAGAGTAGTGGAAAAGACAAACTTGGGGATAAATACTACTGCTGCTTTCCGGCCTTTTTCTAAAATTTAATGAATTATTTAACTGAAAGGAATATAGATTGTAACCGTACAGTAGCTGTACAGCAAAGCTCAAAAAATTGTGCTGCAACCACATGATCTTTAGGAGAGAGTATTAACTTAATACTATTGTGTAATCTGGAAACAGCTACCTGACTGATAAAATACCATAGGTGTCACAAAGAATGTGGGAGATACGAGGCAATACCTGAAAAAGGTTGGCGCTGGAGCAGCTTTAGTAAGGACCAATGCAGTTAGTTTGCTGCACATCTCCTGGTAATCTGCAGGGGAATAAAAACCAGATTAAAATAGCGAAGGTAAATCTGAAGAAGGAGCAAGACCCAGAACTGTCAGACCAGAGGTAGAGATATTAAAATCTTACTGTGTGGAAATTTCTACATGAAAGGACCTTGAGGGGATGCCTAAGCTGTCCGCTCCTATTTGAGTGTTTGGAGTATGTTTGTTTGTTTATGTATTTATTTGCATATTTGTTTTGTTTCCCCCTCATATACTATCAAAACCACTTTTTTGAACTGGAAACCTAATCTCCAGGACTCCATCACTCCACAAATGCTATGAATGTCACAATGGATCTGATTTTTTGAGGGTAGTAGCTTTTTCACATTTCTTAAGGAGTGACTGGATTCAGTAGGAGATCCAGGTTCCTCAGATGTTGTGGCTGCTATGAGAAAGGGAGGAATACTTTGTGGCATCTGTTCCCCATTCTTACACTTTTTCCTCTTCTTTGAGAATTATCTCCAGCTAGGGTTCAAGAGACAGAAAGTCTGTAGGGATGGTAATCTCCAGCTACAGTGAACCTAGAACCTGAGATCAGTGACAAGAGACTACTTAATTTCTGTTAGCTTAAGATAAAATATAACCCTTAATGTGCAAATGTTTTCAGAAGGTGGTTTTAAAGGCCAACAGTTAACATATACTATGTGTATTGAGAGAACCTACAGTAATGCTTTATCAGCTTGTCTTACGTTATTCAGATCTTTACACTTTTACTGCTTGTTGCCTGTGAACTGCATTCTTGTGCAGGAGAAATGTGCCTCTGGATAATATGGACATACAGTTGCACTTGGACATTTTCAATTAATACTTTAATTTTCTTCTGAAGCAATAGATCAAGTAAAGTATGTACTAAAATTGCTACTCTTGCTCTTTGTTTTTGCAAGCCTTCCCTTAGAATTTAGATGACTACAATTACTATTTTAATTTCTCAGGCTCTGTAAGCTCTACCTCAGAAGTACATTCACCACCAAATATAGGATTAAGGCGCAGTGGACAAATTGAGGGTGTGCGACAGATGCATAGCAATGCACCACGAAGTGAAATAGCCACTGAGAGGGACCTCGTGGCTTGGAGTCGAAGGGTTGTGGTACCTGAACTGTCACCAGGGGTAGCCAGGTAAGAAATCTCTGAAAGCTGATTGATTAATTCTCTTAAATTGTTACGTTTGAATTTTAGTCTTGTTGACATAAGGTAACTCAGTTTTGGTATGTGTATGTCTTGATGGATTTATAGTTTTTATAAAATGTACTTTAAAAAAATATCAACTTGCTATTTTTGCATCTTTTGGAAGAAATGGCATTTAGGTAGGCGCTGATTTGGAAAGACTTAGTTTGGCAAATGGGGGATTAGGTTGTCATACTGTGCTGAGGGGACATAAATGCCTAGGATAAGTAGCCTACTCCATAAACACTACAACAGTACTGTCTGGCTGCTGGGAGCAATCATTTGGCTATGGCACCTTATTTTTACATCTTGATCCCTTTTTTGGCGGGGATGGGACACTGACCCAGTTCATCGTTTTTCTGAAATGAACCCAAAATCTGGGTTCATTTCAGAAAAATGAAGAACTGGTATAGTATCCCACTGTGACATTACTTAGGGTACAATCTGGACTGTTAAACAGCTGTCCCCTCTCAATTCTCCAGCCTGGGGTGCCTTTTACACTGCTTCGCTGTGAGAGCAACCACTCCTGGTCTACTTACCCACAGCCTCCAGCATGTAAATTACTCCCAGCTACACTGCATGAGTGTTCTGGCCAGCCACTCTTGAATTACACGGTAGAGCAACACCAGCAAATTCATGATCCCAAACTTTCCCCCAGAAATGTGCATATTGTACTGCCCGCCCTTTCCTGGACAACGCAAGGTCTCATAGAATAGAATCATAGAATATTAGGGTTGGAAGAGACCTCAGGGGGTCATCTAGTCAAATCCCCTGCTCAAAGCAGGACCAACACCAACTAAATCAGTCCAACTCATAAAGTCCATCATTTTATTTATAGAAGAGTATATGCACAAATCCTGTTATCCCAAATGAAGTTTCCCAAACACTTAAATCCAAACACACTGGTTTAGATAAAACGATAAAACAAATTTATTAACTACAGAAAGATTTTAAGTGATTACAAGTAGTGAGGCATAAAAGTCAGAATTGGTTACACAGAAATAAAAGATAAAACCCAACTAATACTTAACAAGCTGAGTGAATGCAAAGCAAAAGTCTCTCAGCATATACTCCAGCAGTCTCACTGATTGATTTCCTTTCAGACAGGGTCCTCTCCCTCAGTCCAAAGCTGTTTCTTTGTTCCTCGGGTGTTGTGGCTGCTGTGGGTAGAGAGAAAGGGAGGGAGGAATAACTTGGGGCATCTGTTCCCCATTCTTACTACCTTTTTCCTCTTCTTTGAGAATCCTCTCCAGCTGGGGTTCAAGAGACAGTCTGTGCGGATGGGAACATCCAGCTATTTCATTGGCAAAATGTAAATTTCTCACTCTAACACTTTTTCCTGCCAAAGAATGACCACTTAATTAGGTGATAGTCTATTTGATTTCGTTGACACCTGCCTGAGGCCTCAGTTTGCCTTTTGTCTCTGAAGAACTGGTTTGTGGCTGCTTCCCAAGATTTGGATACGTCTTAGTAACATCATACAGTGGAATCTTATATCTTTGCATACAATGTTGCCACACATATTTTACCAGGACGGTAATTATCAGCAAATTGAGTTTTGAAACGATACCTTAAAAGGCATAGTTTGTACAAAATGTATCTTAGTTTGAAAAAGGGGTGAACATAGTGTTACAGACTCTCACACCCACCTCTGCCAAAAAAGGAGTCAAGATGTTAAAGTCTGTAGTAATTTTATTTCTGTGAGTGGTAAAACTCCCATAAGAAACAGATGTTGAGAATAAATCTACACTGTTCCTGAGCGCAAACACAAGCTTTTGAGTGTATTTACCAACCTACAGCTGACTGCTTCTTGAAAATACCTACTTTCAAATATGTTTTACTCAGTTGCCTTAGATGCCATGTGGGTTCTTCTGAAGAATCTGTGACTCTTAAATCAAAATTAAAATCTTGGGGCTAGAAACTGGCTTAGCGAACCGCGGTCAGTGGGAGTCGCGATCGGCCGAACTTGCGGACGCGGCGGGTAAACAAACCGGCCTGGACCGCCGGGGCTTTCCCTGAACAAGCGGTGGACCGGCTTTGAGAAGCTCTGTTCTAGACTACTGTTGTATTAATTTGAATGAAATAAATGGGCCAAAATTGTTTAAGATAACTAACCACTGTCTGACTTAAATAGTGTCAAACATAAACAAGGTCCGGAGTTGGTAACCAGAAACCTCAGCCTGCTTAGTACTATGGCAAACACACCATTGCAAATTCTTTTAATCTTTTATTAAACATACAGAAAAAAAGGAAAAACAGTTAAGTCATTTGAAATGTAAAGTATTAAGTAAGGATTTTATTTTAACAACATTTCTTCTTCCCATTTCCTTTAGCTGGAGAGAGTTTTAGAAGGTCAAACCCCCTTGTTTGACAGTCTTTTAGATGGTATCAAAGATGGTAACTCCTTTTGAGGAAAAGAGATGCTAGTTGAGATGAAGTGGAGCTCTTGTTGCTTCTGTTGTTAAAGTTTGATCCTGCTTCATCTCAGGTGATGTTTGGGATTCAGTTGGAGCTGGTAGGGGAGGTGATGTTATTTGAGTCCCTCTCTGTTTAGCTCGGTCTGGTCAGGTCATTTCTCCAGATCAGGGTGACAAAGGGCAGATCTTAGTAAATGGTAGCTAGGGGTGGCAGCCATAATGGTGAAGCTCGCTCTAGTAGCTTCCATTTGTTCTTTCATCTTTTCCCCAAAAAATCTTCTTTGTTAAGGACCTAAAAAGAGAATGATGGGTTTATTATCTGTCCACCAGTTAGACCTAACATATGTTCATCTGGTTCATTCATTTTTTGTTCAACATCTCTGTTTTTACCAAGCATGATTTCAACACAGTCCTTGAGTTATAGAAGTAGGCGTTTTTGTTTAGACTAATTCAGTCTGTTTCCCTTTTGTACTTTTTCCCATCAACATTTATTTGTTGTTATAGGTTATTGTGACATTTCGTGAACTTTTACATACTTTTTACAGTTGAGCTCATAATTAGAGTAAAGTTGTAGGCCCAGCTATCACAACGCTAGTTACTGCAATTCTGCACTCTGGGCTCTCATTCAGTTTGATTTAAGGTTCATCTGGCAGCAATATCGGCGTATCATCCACTGATTCAGTTGGTTTTGGCCTTCTCTTAACCAGTGGTATCTAGATTTCTTAAACATGCTTATACCTTGGTCAGAGTACCTGCTCCAGCATGGGATCTCAGTGTCATCTTTCACAGACTTAAGGAGCACCCCCCCGGAGCACTTCTTGGGGTGCTCCATCCACTATCTTATGGTGAAAATATTATGCTTGGTCACCACCAGTTCAGACAGAAAAGTCAGCAAGCTTCAGGTACTCATGGCGGAACCTTCATGTATTTCATTTGATAGAGATAAAATGGTAGGGAGAGCTCATGCAAAATTCTTCCCCAAGGTGGTTTCGGAATTCTATTTGAATCAATCAATTTACTCTGTGTTCTTCGCAAAGCCATGTTATATGCAAGGGGAGAAGAAACTCCACACCGTGGATGTATCTAGAGCCTTTGATACTATATTGGCAGGACCAACTCTTTCAGACAATCTTCATGTCTATTTGTAGCTATAGGTGGCTGCTCCAAAGGTCAAGCCATCTAATCCCCAAGACTTTCAAAATGGATAACTGTGTCTCTCACTGTGCTACCAACTGCTTGATGTTCCTCTCTGACTGACCGTTAGGGCTCATTCTGCCAGAGTTCAAGCAGCGTCCTCAGCATGTTTCTGGAACATACCAGTGTCTGAAAACTGCAAGGCTGGTTTGTGGAGTCAGCCCACTCACGTTTGTCAAACATACACTCGACTTGGCTTCTAGATCAAATGCAAACTTTGGGAAACCTGTACTCAGTCTCTGTTTGAATGATGTAGTTAATACTCCTCATGCCCATCTTACTGAAGAGGATACTGCTTGCCAGTCACCTACAGTGGGAGCCACACTAACAGATACTTCGAAGAAGAGAGCATGTATTTATCCTACAGTAACTGTGGTTCTTATAGATGATGTAGTCAGTGTGGACCCTATGACCCACCCTCCACCCACACTTTGTGGTCCTAAGCTATCACTGGCTTTGAATTGTGAGGAAGGGTTAGGGCCGCTCCACCCTCTGTGCCCTTGCATGGGACCTCAAGGAAGCACAAGGTGTATGTGTGGCCCTGCCAGACACTACTATTAATAATATTCCAAGCTTGTACGAGTGAGAGACACATGCACCCATAATGGGATCCACGCTGACAACAACATCTTGAAGAGCCGCAGTTACTATAGGGTAAGTAACCATTGTTTAACACAAGAATGTGATAAACATCCTATACTACTTCACACACAGAAATCATCAAGAATAGGATCTCTGTCTATAGGATTTTGGCCTAATCCTGGAAACTCTGAAATTAACATTTCTTAATTTCTCTCTTCCAGTAGACAGGAGGAATGGAGAACAGCAAAGGGAGAAGAAGAAATAAAGATTTATAGATCAGAAGAGAAAAGGAAGCACATTACAAGTCATGTTCCAAGAGAGAACAAAATACCTTCTTTCTCTAAGGTAAATAGTCATACATATTTTATTACAGAAATTGCCATAAAACTTACTTTGGTATATTGAGCCCACAGATGTCTCTAAACTTCTCACTTCAGTTTAAATTAAAATGGGAAACTGGCATATTATGTTTTTTTATTTATTTATAGCTATTGAGAGAACACCTGCCTATTCATGTTATATTATTAAATGGCAAATAACTTTAACACAGAGTTAGTATTGCCCAGTGATAGCTTATTGCTCTTTCAGAATGTCTATGTCAGCAAAACTCAGAGATGTGAAAACCAGGAAATAGAGTTAAGGTGCTTAAAACAGAAATCTAGACTTAACTATAGCAGAGCTGTCACTTTGCTATAATGTTCTTAACAAGCAATGAGTTGTGTTTCTGGAAGTCCTGTAAAGTAGAAATTACTGTAATTATGCATCTTGGTCATGAGGGTATGTATTGCTATTTGAGGTTGTCACAGATGAATAAGAGTGCATATTGCTTAAGTTGCACAAGGGGAAGAAAACTTTGTCTAACATGTACATCACATGGGTTTTTGTGTTTAAAAGTTATGCCAAGAGTAACCTCCAGTCAGATCCCCTATATAAACAGGGACACTAAATGTGACAGAATATTTTCCATAATAGTACCTCCTCTCATGAGCAGTTCTTTGAGGGATTTTTTAAAATATAGGTCTGATGCATCTGGCAATATCAAAACATTCCTTCAGAGTAGACATGAGCAGCAGCAGGACTGTGGGGGTGAGTAGTGGTCTGAGACGCATACATACTGGGGACATACCATTGCTGGCCCCTTACACCTTTTAAAAAAATATATTTGTGAAAGAGAGAGCTTGAAGGGGTGCTGGTATTTTTGAAGGGTCGGTGCGACTTTTTAAATTAGACTTTCGGGGCTTGTCTATCCTGGAACACTTTGTCTGGAGAAATAAAAATTGTGCTGTCCCTTAGGGATTTGGAGGCAGTTAGAGCTAGGCAAGGGCCCATCAATGGTTTATCAGAACTCCAAACAGGGAATTAGTAGTTTTGAATGCTCCTATTTTGTTTTCTACCAGGGTAATAGTGGAGTGTCCTCACAAAATCAGAGTTTTTACAAAATGTCTTTCCTTACTGGAGTGGTAACTTTTTGTTCCCCCTTTACAGGCTTAATTTAATTTGCTTGGCTATCACAACACTGGGGCCCTTTCCGCTCCTTGAGTGCTGAGTAGCAACTCAGAAAGCAGTCAAAGGATTCCTGCTGGTCCTTGAGTTCACATCAGGTCACATCAGAGGTGTGATTAGTCCACAGTCATCCAAACTGGCATTGGAACACAGGAATTGTCATTCCAGAGCAGACCAGTAGCCCATCTAGTCCAGTATTCTCTGTCTTACAGTGATTGGTACTAGAGCCTTCAGAGGAAGAGGCAAGAAACCTCATAGTGGGCAATTTTGGTATAACCTTTTCAAAAGGGAAGTTTCTGTGATGGGTTACCCCCCACTCCGGGGTGTCACCTGATATATGGGGGTACCACTAAGCCCGCCTATTCTGCTAGCCTGGGCTCCTTTACACTATCCTGCTGAACCAGGCCCTCAATCCTCCTCCAGCACACACACAGGTAGTGCCACACCCAGCTGCAGAAAGACACAGAAAACTGAAATCAGCTCTGCATGGGAAGCTTCAGCTAGGGAACTGCTCAGCACTCAAGTGCACACACCCCCTGGGGTGCAAACCCAAAGTTGTATTGTCTTGCGTTGCACAGAGAAATGTACAGTGTACGCTCATGAAATTCGCCTCCTCCCTCAATGTGGAGGAAAATATGCACAGCTTTCTCCCCTTCCCCCCTCTCCCCTGTTATGAATTCCACAAACTGGTTTTAGAGAAAACAAAAAGTTTATTAACTACACAAGATTGTAAGTGATTATAAGGGATAGCAAGCAGATCAAAGCAGATTACCCAGCAAATAAAACAAAAACCACAACGTAAGCTTAAGACACTAAAGAAACTGGTTACAAGTAGTAATTTCTCACCCTAAATGTTGTTTTAGGCATTTCTTTCACAGGCCAGACACCTTTTCCAGCCTGGGCTCAGCTCTTCTCCCCCTCTTTTGTCCTAATTTCTTAGATGTTTCCAGCAATCATCCTGGATGGGGATTCAGTCAAGAATGAACACTGATTAAGTCACTCCCCTGTCTTAAATGGGTTTTACATATGGCGGGAACTCTTTGTTTTCCAGTGTGCACCTCCCCCTGGAAAAATACTGGTATTCTATCATGGAATCCAGTACCAGGTGACTTAATTACATGACCTTGCAGTGTCAAAGCAGCCATGAGTCAAAGGTTGTTGTAGCATCCCAAGAAGCTTCTCAGGAAGGTGGGAGATTAGCATCTTCAAAGTCCTAATGTTCTCCCTAATGGCCCATCCAGACTGATTGCATTCTGTCTGGTGGGCGTTCCCCAGGTGTAAACCCACTTGTAATTGTTACATAGTCAATATTCCTAACTTCAGATACAGAAATGATAAATGCATACAAATAGGATAATCATATTCAGAAAATCATAACCGTTCCAATGATATCTCACAAGACCCATCTTGCATAAAATACATCTTAGATATGCTATAATCATAGTATGACAATATTTTATGAAGAATATGGGGCGTAGTGTGTCGGTTTCTTCTTAAGGTTCCTCAGTTAGAAGTTGCCTTGAATCAAAAGGATACATATCCGTTTTTTTGTTTTTTTTTAATCCTTATAATTGTCCAATCCCCTTTGAAATCCAGCTTGGCTCGTGCTATTGACCTTTGCTCTTTCTTCAGTCCCTCTGTTACAGTGGGCTGCAGGTATGCACTTGTCCTTCATTCATCTCAATATCTGAGGTAACTATGATATAGCAATGAGTATGAGGCTAAGGGATTGGTCATGTGGCCTCCGCTGGTCCAGGGAAAATATTTCCAGAGATGAGCTGGCAAGGTCCCCACTCACAGGGAAGTTGATGATGACTTATGTACATCCACAGCAATCACCCTAATGGTGCTGAAGTTCACATCACGCAAATGATCTGTCTCTATCGTATTCTCAGATTTATGTAAATCCCTCCAAAATTAGGTATTCATTGTTTTATGGAATCTCTGAGAAGATGATTGGTATCCTTTTCATGCCCCCTTCCCCTCAAACTGCACCTATCCTTAGCTCTACTAAATTCTAGGCTGGTAACAAGGATAGTGAAGTGTAGGTTTAATTTCTGAGGGGCTTTGAAATTATTAGGTCTCAGGTATGTTACAAGACAAGCTTCCGAAGAAAGATTCATTTGAGACTGTATGCATTTTCAAAGGTCTTGTTACTATTCTGTCATGGGTCTTATTAGAGAGACAAGGTGGCTGAGGTAATTGTGACAGGTTCCCCCAGGATGCCACCTGGAACTGAGGTACCACTGAGCCCTCTGACTCACCAGCCTGGGCTCCCTCTCACACTGTGCTGCTGTGACAAGTTGCAGACCTGCTCCCGGTCTTACACTTCCACCAGCACTCACATAGGTAGGGGGACACACCCAGCTACAGTTACATGCAGGCTGTCTAACCAGCCACTGCATGAACCAACAATAGAAAGGCTACAGCCAAAATAATCCCCGTCTCCCCAGGTAGCCCCCACCCCCCACTGGACTATAAACCCCAAATTATACCATCTTGTGATACACAGAGAACTGTACAGTATAAACTCATAGCGTTCACCCCTCCCTCAATGTAGAGAGGAAATTGAACAGCCTCTGCCCCGCTGCTTAAGATTCCCAGGTGCTTCACTCCAAACTTCCTGGTTTAGATTAAAACATAAAATAAGTTCTTCTTCGAGTGCTTGCTCATGTCGATTCCATTCTAGGTGTGTGCGTGCCCACGTGCGTGGCCGTCAGATATTTTTGCCTTAGCGGTACCCATAGGGCCAGCTGTGGCACCCTCTGGAGTGCTGTGCTCATGCAGCGGTATGTCAGGCGCCGCCAGTCCTTTGCCCTCTCAGTTCCTTTTTACCATCTGTGGTGGTCAGTTGGAGTGCCTTTCTTGCTTAGCAAGAATTAGCAGCTTCTCCTTTTGAACTTCATGCCTTAGGGCCTTTGTACATAGTTTGCATTTGATAGTGGTAAATAGTTGTTAAGTGTGTGTTAGTTAGTAGTTAGGGTCCCAGTGGGGACTTTGCTCCAGGCGGGGCATGCCCCAGTCTCCTGGTTTTCGGAATGCAACAGGCCTGTGCCTCTGAGTGACCCCCATAGCAGCTTCCTTAAATGCCTGGGGGAGTCGCACGTTAAGGAGCAGTTCCAGGTCTGGAAAAACTTTCAGCCCTGCACTCAAAAGGACCGGGATATCTGCTTTAGGACTCTCCTGATGGAGTCTGCCCTCCGACCAGCTTCCGAGCCATCCAGACATATCACACTGAGCGCCTTGACCTCCGTGCACAGTACACCGCCGGCACCCAGCTGCTCATGGCACCGTTCGCCATTGCCGGTGCCGAAGAAGAAGGCCAAGAAGCACTCCCCGGTACCCAGCAAGAAAGTCCAGAGGTCATCTTCCAAGGGACCGGGGCCTGGCCCCAGGCTACTCTGGAGCCACGCAATTGTGCCTTTCCAGTTGGTGCTCCCAGCCCTCTTACAGGTCCACCACCGACTCTTGGGAGTGGTATGAACCCACACCCCTGCCTGCACCGTTGTCATCCCAGGCTCCCCAGGCACACACAGAGCTCAGGTCTCCACGTGCTCCAATGACGACCTCGGTGCTGCTGGACCCGGCTAAGTCTCCCCAGGAGGACAAGCCTGCCATTAAAACACCTCAGGGGAAAGGGGAACACTGCTGGTCGCGGGACAGAAGACATTGATCTTCTCCGCACATGTTGATGCGACTGGGACCTGGCCCGGGATTCCTTTCGGTCGCCCAGGCTGACATCCAGATCCCCTCGGCACTACTCACCGGCACAGGGTTAATGCTCCCCCTACTATTCCCAGCACCATTCATTCTCACGCCGGTCGTCTTCTAGGCGTCGGTCC